ACCCAAATCCCATGGAGAAACGGGCCCCCCAGACATGGTGGAGGCCTCGAGATCGGAAATCTCAAAGTCTAAGCGCCAATGGAAGGGATCCAGCCCTCTGACCTCTCGGGGTCAAAGGCAAAGCACTGGTCTAACGGTCCAAACGAGTGGAACAGGGGGATTCTAACCCCCCACTACCTCATTCCTCTGACGAGGAGGACTACTGCCCATCACGTTACCTAAATATCCTGGATGAGTGGTGTGAAGATGGCTCGCTCTCAGAGGAGGAGGAATGGCAAAGCTTACCTCAGGTTTCCTCGAAGTACGTTAAAGAAATCGTACTAGGGAACGACAACCGACACAAGAACACTCTGAGCGACCCTAAAGCCATGGTGGCCGAAGATGGTGTCTTTCTGGAAGACCAAGGAGTACCTCTCTTTGACCCTCGCACCATTCGCCACCCTTGGTCATCGGAGTGGAGCCTCCCAGGGCCTACCTGGGTTGATTCGTATATTATTGGTAATGCAAGCCTTTAGAGAAGGAAGTTCGTGCACACCTCAGAGCCGAATGCCCTAGGCCACTCCTACCTGACAAAGTGACCATTACCTCTAAATTCGACACCACGGTAGTGTTTTTTATGTCTCGCTCTGGACAGGACATACGCAAAGGCATCGAGAAAGGCCTGAAAGCTGATCTTCCTGGCTCTATTGCAATGATGCTCTACTTTGCTGATTTGGCGCTGTCTCAAGACGCCCAACTTGACCCACATGCTATCTGTGAATTGCTCAGAGTTCAATATGTCTACTGGGCAATGCCAATGCCGCACTTTGTACCGAACAAATGGCCTCCTATTAGGCAAATCATTCATAGCCGAACTCAAGAGGCACGTCAACTTGTTTACTACCTTGAATAAAGCACAATCATCCCTGAAACAGGTCTGCAATGCTCCATCTGGAAGAGGTGTTTTTGGGAGGGCCTGTCGACAGCGGAGCCGAGCCACCGGCTGCTTCTGGTCTGCAGGCTCCAGATCCTACCCTCTGTCATCCAACTTCTTCCCAACCATTCCTCAGAGATCCTCCTTCTACAGAGGCATGGATAGAGCCAGAGGTTCTAGAGGAAGAGGACGGGGACACTTCTCTACAGGTGAGTTCAGCCACTTGCCTACCTGTTTCCAACTTTACCACTGGCAGCCTGTCTCTTTTCTTTCAGAACTGGAAAACGATCACTGGAGATTCCTGGATACTCCAGATGGTATGGGGTTACATTATAGAGTTTTACTCACAACCCGTCCAAACCTCGCTGCCACCTCCAATACGCATGTCACGGGATCACAACCTCCCAGTGGACAAAGAAATTGGCACCCTCTTAGCAAAAGGCACAGTGCAATACACACGGGATGGGGGCGGCTTCTTCAGCAACATTTTCCTCGTCAAGAAGAAAACAGGAGATTACCGACCGGTCATCAACCTAAGAAACCTCCACTGCTATGTGGTGTACAGACACTTCAGTATGGAGGGGATACATCTCCTGCAAGACCTCCTCATCGCGACCGACTGGTTCACTTGACTAGAGCTAAAAGGCGCATACCTTTCGGTACCCGTTGTTCTAGAATGTTGTCGCTTTCCTCATTTCCTGTGGAGAGGACGAGCATGCCAGTTCACGTGTCTGCCCTTTGGCCTCAGCTCGGCTCCGTGGTCTTTCACAAAGTTGCTGAAGCCAGTGATGGCCCAAATTCGAACCAAAGCCGTGTGATATCTCGTTTATCTGGACGATTGGTAATCTTCTGCGAATCTGCGTACAGGTTTACGATTGCTGACAAAACTGCCTGGAGTTGATTGTGGGGTCCTTTGCTATCTGCAGTTTGGCCAAAGGCATGTCAAACTGTTGCATTCTACTCCACATAGACAATATCTCAGTGGTGCAGTATATCATTCTGCCTGGGCAGAGCCAGATCCCAGGCACTCACAGAGGTCACGAAAGACATCTACAGGGTTGCCTCTCTCGAAACATCACACTACGGGCAGAATATCTGCCGGGAATTACCAACCTGACGGCAGATTGGTTCTCCCACCACTGGCAGGACAATAGCGACTGGAAGCTCAATGTATCGGTCTTCCACTAATTTACTTACCTAAAGAATTTGTTATATCTGGATCTGTTTGCTTCCTGAACCGATCACCAGCTTCCGAATTACTAAAGCTGGCTCCCACATCCAAATTGCACAGCCGTGGACGCATTCCTCCAATCATGGCTGAAACACTGAGCATATGCATTCCCTCAGGTCTCCACGCTAGCAAGGGTGCTCCATTACACACGTACCCACAAGGTAACTCTCCTCCTCATAGCTCCACATTGTCAGAGTCAAGCAAGGTTTACGGATCTATTGGAGATGTCCCACGATCACCCACTTCTGTTGCCATTATTCCCTCTACTTCTGACGGGACCACGGGGGGAACCCCACCCCTTTGTACTAGAACAGAAGTTAGACCTAGTGGCCTGGATGATTTCCATGGATCCTGGTCAGTCCATGGCCTATCACAATTGGCTAAGGACCTTCTATGGGCTTCCAGCACCAGGAAATGCTATATCTCCGCATGGTCCACCTGGAGTAATTGGTGTGTGGACTTTGACCCCTTTACTGCACCTATCCTAATGATCCTTACATCTCACATCTTTTTTCTCAAGGCCGTTTGTACTGATCCCTCAATGTGGTTCGATCGGCTATTTTGTCAGCGCACGTTCCTGCACAGGGCATTCTGGTGGTTCAAGACCCACTGGTATTTCAGTCATTGGGAGACACAAAGCTGTCTAGACCTCCAGCACCGAAATACTCCCGTCTATGGGATGTGGATGTGGTGCTGAGTTTCCTCAGATATTGGCCGGTTAATATGAACCTCTCTCTTAAGCAACTATCAGCCAAACTTACCCTTTTGTTATATCTCGTTTCTTTTCATCACATAGCAGATGTCAGGGCCTTCGATGTGGACAGTTTCTCCTTTACTCCGGAAGGAGTTTCCTTCTCAGTTTTTGTCGCACTAAGTCGGATTCAACCTTGTTTTTTTACCCGTTTTTCCATGCGGCTCCCCAGCTATGCGTGGTGAAGACACTGATGCGCTATACCGAGCTTACAGCTCCCCTCCGAGTTTCTTCGGTGGGTCAGCTTCTGATTTCGTATGTCAAAGTTTCAAGGCCCTGTGTCAACTACGACATTGGCCAGATGGGTTCGCTGGCTTCTATCGTTAGCCGGCGTGGAATCCTGCTTTGGGGCCTATTCAGTCAGAGGTGCGGACACGTCACAGGCCTTTTTTGTCAGGAGTTTCCCTTGCCGACATTATGCGTAGCGCGGATTGGACGTGTGAGAGTACATTCAGGGTATTCTATCTCTGTCAGGTTTCTCGTGCTTCCTTTGCTCTGCTTAATCCTTAGCGTTAAAAATGCAAATATGAAGCCTCCTGTTATGTGGTAAAATTGTAGATTATGCTAACGTAGTGTACTTATAATATTAATTTTAGTAATGACAGGAGGTGAATATTTTCCTCCCTTCTTTCTCCCTCCCGAATTGTATTGTACTGTTTATATATATGTTTTCTCTGGTTTTCTATTCTAATATATTTGTAAGGTGGTTTACTTCTTTTAGGCCTAGTTGCTAAATTAGCTCTGATTTCAAGTCATAATGTCATGTATACCATGTTTTAATAAATGCTAGTGCTCATACAATGCGGACAACTTATCAATTCAGATATCTTTCACTTTTTTCTTTCAGTGTGATTGGTTCCCTTCAAGGGACAAATTCATCTTTACAATGTGCTTTGTTCCTTTTCCTTTCAGGATTTGTAATTTTATGGCAAGACAGGAGGCTTCATATTTGCTTATCTTTCTTTACTGTAACTCCCAGCAGCAAAGAAACAGTTAACTATCAGTGTAAAAAAGTTTAACCAATCAGCATGCATCACAATAACATACACTGCCATCAGGCTCCTCCCAACTCCTCTTTCTTTGCTGCTTAGCCTCCCAGGTGAGTCTATTCTAATTATATCCCTATTAATGCTCAATTTAGCTGACTATTATCGTTTTAATATCATTTGAATATATTACATATATTTTCTGTTCCTTTAATTTTCTTTATGTGCAGTGTATGCTCCTTTTATTAACAACTGTTAAGTGGGCTGACATTCTAGTCAGCCCACAACTTCAGATTACTTCATATTTCTTTCAATTTTATTATATTGTGCTCTGTCAGTTTAAATCTAGAGCACTGACAGTTTCACCGCGGCTCCCGGCATTTTGCCGGTCCATACAGCCGCTCACTTCTTTGTACACAATTTGTGTTGTCCTGGCGTCTCCATAGAGACGCGTCCCGCCTTTCCTCCTATGCCGCGGCCATTTCTCTTACCTTTTTCACGGGCTTTTTGACTCAACGCCATCTTGTGGAAGGTATCTGTGCGGTGGTTTCGTTTCGGCTCTTCACAGCAAACGCGACCCAGCTGTTCAGTTAGTATACTTTTTCTTCTTAAAGCCCCAGTCCATTAGTTTACTTAAAGGTATACACTCCCATACTCAAAAATATCAGTTTTTCTGTTTACAGATTCCCAATTACACAACAAAGTGTTTCAAAAAACCCTTGCTTGATTTTGAGGGTGACCCCCTCTAGCCTATATTCTGAGGGTGACCCCCTCTAGCCTCTTTTCTAAGGGTGACCCCCTTTTTGCCTCTATACAGGGTAACCCCCTATATAATTACACAGGTGCATACCTGTTATTGATTTTGGACATTATATTGTCCTTTTCTCTCTGGGTGAACCCCACTGATAAGCTGTGGATGAACCCCACTTATTTACAGGATAATTGTTTCCTGCATTTTACATACTGTCTAAGTCCACCGCCTCATTGTAAATAGTTTGTCTGCATATAACAAAAAAAAACAAAAAAAACTTTATATATAATTTAAAAAAAAAAAAATATTATAAATTAAAATATAAATAAATTAAATACTATAGTGGTGACCCCACTGTTACTGACATTATGTCTGATTTGCCAGAACCAGCAGTCTCTGCTGAACTTAAGGCTTGGCTATACAATGCCATTACCGAATCCATACCCAAAGCTCTAGCGGCTTTCCGTGAGCAGACAGTCCCAGCCCCTACGGCGACCATTACTCAGCTGTCAGACTCCGAGGATTCTCACGGTTCAGAACGTGACGAAGCTCCTCGCAAACGCCCTTGGAAGGGCGATAGCGCTACTGCCAGTAAAGGCAAAGCGCCTGCCAAACACCCTAGAGTTTCCTATTCTAAACCCAGGGAGGTTGTCTCCCAACATGATTTTGACCCACTTGAGGGTTCAACCTCTAATTATAATCTTCAGGTGGTAGATGAATACTACGCAGAACATTTGGATAATGATGCTCCACCTCATAAGACATCCCGAGACCTTTACCCCGCTGATTTTGCAAATAATGAGCCCTCCCTCATACCTTTAAGAGGAATTCCATTTGGAATCTGACCTAACATCTGAAAACCCTAACTTAAAATATGATACCTTATTTGATACCTCTGGCCGCCCTTTATTTGACCCCAGATGCATCAGGCACCCTAGATCTGCCGAATGGACACCCCCGGACCACATTGCCAAATGCTGTAGAATGTGGCTCCGTCGGCCTTTAGAAAAAGAGGTGAGAGCCAAATTGAGGGCAGAATGCCCACCTCCCATTATCCCGGACAAGGTGGCCAGTACACCTGAATTCGACCCCTTCCTTGTTACCTTTCTGACCAAGTCAGGGAAAGACCCCCATAAGGGTCTAGAACAGGGTCTGAAAGCCACTCAAGATAAGTTGATGGATGTGGCGGGCCCGCTTATACAAATTTTCATTATAGCAGACGAGGCTATGTTCAGGTGGCATGTTTGAGGCACATATGGTGCGAGAGTGGGCACAAAGGGCTTTATGCCTTTTAGGCAATGCCAATGTGGCGATCTTGACAGAACGGCGGAAGGCCGTCCTTTATAAAATTGATGCCAAGCTTGCCGAATTGGGCATTAAAGAAGTAGGTCCAGAGGCTCAAGGCATGTTATTCGGAGACAAGTTCATAAAAGAACTACGTAAACACGTCTCTGTATTTACTTCGCTGACAAAAGCACAATCCTCCATTCGCAAGGTGTTTCGCACACAACGTTTTTCCGGGAGAGCTGGTCGCTACAGAGGCCGAGCGACTGGCAGAGCCGCCTTCACGGGCTACAGGCCTTGACCTTCAGACACCTGGAACTCGGGCAATACCCGATTCCACCACAGGCAATTTTTCCCCTCTCGCGGAGCTATCCGAGGACGTGGATCCGCTTCCCTCCATGGTCGCACTGCTACAGGTAATGGACCTTCCTTATTCTCATATTTCTATTGCAGGCCGGTTAACCCTTTTTTCCCAACAGTGGTCTCAACTCACTCGGGATCCTTGGATCCTTCAGACTGTGTCCGAGTTCCACCTGGACTTTTCAGACGAACTGATACAAAAATCTCCTCCTATCCCGATCAAGATGTCATTGTTAGATGAGTCGACTCTACGGAGTGAACTCAATAATCTATTCACGAAGGGTGCGATCGAAAGAGTTGTTGGCCCACAGGTCTTCATAAGCAACATGTTTCTAGTCAAGGAAAAATCAGGAGACCTACCGTCACTTCAAAATGGAGGGAATACATTTATTGAGAGACCTACTCTGCAAGGGAGATTGTTTCTCCCGCTTCGTTCTAAAGGATGCATACCGAGCGGTGCCGGTAACACCAGCCCACCACTGCCTCCTTCAGTTTCATTGGGAACAGGAACTATGGCAATTCACCTGCATCCCCTTCGGCCTATCTTCCGCACCCTGGTGCTTTACCAAACTAATGAAACTAGTAATGGCATTACTGCGTTCCCAGGAAATCCGGTCTATCGTTTATCTGGACAATATCCTCCTCATGGCGCAGGACCAAGAGACTCTTCACCTTCATACAGCCATGACCTGCGCTTTGTTGCAGAACCTTGGCTTCGTGATCAGTCGCCAGAAGTCATCTCTCACACCGTCCCATGCGGTACAATTCCTGGGATTCTAGATAGATTCTGTTCAGGCAGTCCTTTAACTTCCGTCAACCAAAATCAAATCCATAAAACAGGACATTAAGAGGTTGCTGATATCACCATATCTCTGCCTGCGAGATCTAGCTCGCATCATCGGCTTGCTCTCCGCCTCAATACAGGCTATATTCCGCCTCAATACAGGCTATATTCCCTGCAATGCCTAAAGACGCAATATTTACATCAGTCGACATCCTATGACCAACAGATCACACTCACAGATGAAGTCCAGCTAGAACTCCATTGGTGGCTACACCATATGGACGCTTGGAATGGAAGAGCCATTTTCGTATCCCAACCCGATTTCATTCTAGAATCGGATGCAAGCCTGCTCGGATGGGGCGCAACTTGCTATGAAAATTCTAGTTTCCGCAGTTTTGCCAAGGATGTCTATAATTGTTCCGTGGTGCTGAAGATGGACAATGTGTCAGCAGTTTGCTACATGAATCATCTAGGAGGTTCCAAATCGAAGATGCTTTCGGACCTGACCAAGGAATTGTATCAGTTCTGCCTAGACAGGAATATCTCCCTGCGAGCAGAATATCTACCAGGATCAGACAACCTCGTGGCAGACTGGTTCTCCTGACATTGGAGGGATTCCAGCGATTGGCAACTGTATCCACAGATATTTCACCGTCTCCAGATCTGGCGGGGACCATTCAACCTGGATCTCTTTGTGTCTCGCCTCAACAGTCAGACGGACGCATTTTTCAGCTGGTTGCCAGATCCAGCGTGCTTTGCAGTGGATGCCTTCTTACAGACATGGCCGATGTCCGGTGCATATGCGTTCCCTCCATTCTCCATGATTCCACGCACACTACAGCACCTCAAAACTCAAGGTGTCAAGATAACAATGGTGACCCCGCTATGGCGGGCCAAACCATGGTACCCTTACCCCCTGGGACTGTCAGTGGACTTTCCCCTGCTTCTACCCACCTCCTGCGACCTCCTCAGGGACCCGGCAGGCAACTTTCACCCATTGGCAGGGACTCCTTTGGGATTCATGGGCCCCAGGAACCAGACGCTCTTACATCTCTGCATGGCGTCTCTGGGGTTGCTGGTGTTTGGAAAGGAACTTTGATCCCTTTTCAACATATATAATTAATATTATCAATTTCCTGTCATCTCTGTTCGACCAGGGTAAATCCTACCGGACTATAAACGTGTTTCGATCTGCTATTTCTGCAGCGCACGTTCCTTTTGAAAGTTCTTCAGTAGGAAAACACCCATCTGTGTGTAGACTCTTGCGGGGCATCCGCATCGCTAGACCTCCGGCTCCCAAATATAATCAATTCTAGGACGTGGCCATCATGCTCACATTCTTAGAAGCTTGGCCAGACAACAAGGCACTCTCCCTACGCCAATTGTCAGCCAAATTAGCTCTCCTCCTTTGCTTGGTCTCCTTCCGAAGAGTCTCCGACATCAAGGCTTTCGACTTTAATGCCCTCGATTTCACACCGGAAGGGGTGCACTTTCACATCACTAGACGCACCAAGACCAATTCATCTAGAGTGAGCTACCCCTATTTTTCGGAGAAACCACTTCTCTGCGTAGCCAGTTGCATAAGACAATATATCGCTTGCACTACCCCTCTTAGGGCACCTACTGGGCCCCTCCTGGTGTCTTATGTGCGACCACACAAACCAGTCTCATGCCCTACCATTGCTCGGTGGATTAAATGGCTACTAGCCCTGGCTGGCATTGATGCGTCTTTTGGGGCTCACTTGGTTAGAGGAGCGGCCGCCTCCTCTGTATTCATAGCTGGAGGTTCCCTGGTGGAGATTTTATCCTCTGCTGATTGGTCTGGAGAATCCACTTTCCGTACCTTTTATTTTAGACATTCTCCACACGTTTCTTTGTCCATGCTATCTACGCGTTAAAATAGCAAATATGAAGCGTCCTGTCTTGCCATAAAATTGGGGATTATTCTAACTTTTAGTGACCGAATAATCTAAATTTTATTAAAGACAGGAGGCGAATATCTTTACCCACCCTAATAGGCAAGTATCTCTTAGTACCTCCATCTCTAACTAGGTGGCTAGCATTCTCTCAACTTTTTTCTAGCCTATACTCGTCAGTTCATTATTATATGTTAAGCTTGCATTAAAATTGGACGTTAGTTTCATTGCATTTTAATTTGGTTTTCACTTGCCCAAGACACCAGACAGTTAATTATTATATGTTAAAGCTTGCACTCAAATTGGACATTAGTTTCATTGCATTTTAATTTGATTTTCTCTTGCCAAAGAGACCATACTTTCACGATGTTTCTCTTTCCTCCTAGTGTGAAGATCACTCGTCATCTCTGTCTCTGTCTCTTGAGCACTGTTTTCATCCTATCGGATACTTACTCATCGTTCTAATGGTTCTACGTTTACATGGTTGACTCTACAGCTGTTCGGCTACATCAAGAAAGAGCCTCATGGCAGTTTATTTTACTGTGATGCATGCTGATTGGATAACCTTTTTTACACTGATTGTTAACTGTTTCTTTGCTGCTGGGAGTTACAGTAAAGAAAGATAAGCAAATATTCGCCTCCTGTCTTTAATAAAATTTAGATTATTCGGTCACTAAAAGTTAGAATAATCCGAATTCTACAATGTTTAATTGGACATTTTGACATAGCTTTATTGTCATGCTTACTATTTTCTTACCTGTTTAATTGTTCGCTCCAAAGAAAGAGGAGGAGCTTAGGCTGTCAGGGCCTTTTGTGTATCAACTAACTTTTTTTCTGATTGGTTGTTTCTGTGCTGCTGGAGATTTTCAGTAAAGAGAGTTATGCAAATATTCGCCTCCTGTCATTACTAAAATTAAGATTATAGGTACACTACGTTAGCAGAATCTACAATTGCATTATAACAGCTCCCAGAAGTTCAACATTAATATTGTCTTGGAATTCTATGTATTTCAAATTGAAAACAACCTACATGCACTTTCTGTAACTACCTATTGCTCAACTATTGTTGCAGTCACAGTGTGTGACATAATTATGGCCTGCAGGAAACTGTTGCTGTTTTCTTATCTTGTGTCATTTGTGGTGATATACAACCCAGAGCTAATTAAACCCACAGTAACCTTTCTCTGCGTCATTTGTTAATGCTAATAATTCTCATCATACACAGCTACCCAGAATCCAACTTTCCACACACAGCATCCCTCCAACCTGTTAAAACCCAGTGATCGCTAGAAAACTGTATATTAAACCAGTTCTGTAATGCATGAAACATATTTTCCAGAATTTGGCTTTCGCTAATCATTCTAAATTCCAATATGAACACGATCTCTACATACCTCAAAACAGAATGCACGTGTCATGGTTGATTATATATTTCCTACCTGTTCTGTGTTAAATTTTGTATATATTGTGTATTAATATTGAGAAATCTCAATGTATCTTT